GCCGATAGTGAAAGCCAACTGTGTTTGCAGCACAATAAACCCAAGAGGGTCGTTAATTTTTTTCTATGTATATGCCAACATTGTCCAAAAGTTACGAACTTTGTAGGTTTTCTTGCGTGGGATCAATACGGGGAATTCCAAGCGGGCGAAGTTTGGCCCATCAAGCTCGCTCAGGTAGCCAATCAGAACACAGGATTCACTTCATCTTGCCCGCGTGCGCTGCTAGCCATATGATAAAGTGACTCACAGAGCAAGATATCTACTGACCAATCATGTTATCCCATTTCACGATTACAGGTCTCGACATATTGCCTTTTTTCCACGCAAGAGTCAAATTGAACCATTGAGCTACAACATTCAACGCATGATGGTCAGTTGATGGTCTAATGAACCATTCATTTTTTTCCTTTAGCTCCTTATGACAGGTTCATCAGTTCCCGAACCGAAATATTGGGAAAACGTATATTTTACAGTTGATCTCAAGTTTATATTTAATTTTTTGTCTTCATCTCTTCTCCCCACCGTGAGGGGAGAAAATGAATAGATAAATAAATGAATGAAAAAAAGAAAGCTCAACAGATTCCTCTTATAGTCATATGGTACATGAACTGATTACTGAGGTGGAGTAAAGCCATAGAGGATTAGAAATGCAATATCCCAGGTTTAAAATTGGATAAATCAGGATAGTCATTCTTAAAAATAAACTCAAATGCTTCATTAAAATCAATTGACACTGAATGACATTGATGAGCAAAATTTCAGTAACACCACTGATAATAATAATTTTATTTTGGAATAACATGTGACACAGCGAAATCATTCAAACTTCTCTAAAATGGGGCATTACTTCTAAAGACCTTAACACGAACAATAACATTAACAATAGCATGCTACTTCATCATCAGTTGTAGTCAATTTCTTTTCCAAAAATTCTTAATGATACGAACCAATCGATTCCATCCTATTGAGCTTCCAGCCAAGCACTAGCCCACTTTGGGCTAGAAATGATATTCTTCAACTCGATCAATAAACCGCTTTAAGGATCATACTTCGACTGCTGATATTTCTCATGTCTAGCAAGTAAAAAGACGCTGATTGATATCAGCGAGCCTGTAATGTGCATTATACTGATCAGAGGTTTTTTGTGCAACAGCTGTCACTTTAACATCTCAATGTGGATGTCCGCCTTAACAACGATGCACTGAAGGAGTTAAACGATTGCATTGGAGGCTTATTACATTTAGGACTAA